GGACCAGAGAGGAGGGGGGAGGGGAGGGGAGCACATGGAGACTGGAACGCCTGCCGTGGAGCTGGGGGCGTCGGGAGGACCTGTCCGTGGTGGCTGCCAAGAGTCAGCCATCAGGGCAGAAGTGAGGACGGAGGCCTGGTGGAGAGCGGCCCGTAGGGGGAGCACAGGGCGGGGAGTCTGGCATCGCCTGGGCGCCCCACCCGGATAGAGACCCTTCCCTTGCTGACCCTCCCCTCCCTCACTCCAGGACCCGGTGTGCGGCTCCTTCGGGACAGAGCCCTGCCCTGGTGCAGGCAGGGAAGGGGCAGGTGAGCCCCTGGACAGCCGTGACCGCACCTGGGAGGGGGCGGGGCCGCCTCTGCATGGTACGAAATCCAGAACAGGACTTGGGCCTGCAGCGCTAGAGAGAGAGGGGCCGCTGGGAGCCAGGGGCTGGGAGGCCCCGAGGGAGCTGCGGGGTCGGGGGCTCCCACGTGGCCGCCCGCAGAAGGGACCCTGCCGTCTCGAGATGGCGGGGAGCAATCCTGGCAGTGGGCGTGGGGTACGGCCTCCCTGTAGGGCACAAATCCAGACTCCCATTTTTAATAGTGGGAAACTGAAGCTAAGAACAGCACTGGAGCACACCCAGGGCCATGTGGCTGAGTGCGGTGGGCCCTCATGGAACCAGGCTCTCATGGTGGGCTCTTGCCGGACCCCCAGATCTCTAGAATCAGACTCTCCTCTGAAAATGTGACTGCCGGGGCCGTTTTATAGATGGGGAAACTGAGGCAAAGAAATGACACAGCCGCCATGACATGGAGGCAGAGGTCCAGCTGTGCAGACCCGGGTCTCTGCCTCCCTGCCCAGCCCTCTTCCCCTCCCCCGCTCCAGTCCTCTTTCCTCCCCTCCCTGTCCAACACCCCCCCAGTCCCTCTCCCTCTCCTCTCCTCCCTCTCGCCCCTCCTGGCCCAGCCCACATTCTCAATCAGGGCGCCCGGGGCGTCCCGGCCCAGGCCTGTCTGCCACAAGACTCGCTGAGCTCTGAGTGTCCTTGTGTCACGCTCGATTTCCACGTCTGTGCCGGTTTCTGGGTCCCAGGATTCACCGAGCCCCTGTGGCCACCCTCGTCTCCGCTGGCAGAGGTTTTCCTGTGTCAGTGCACCATCCTCCCTCAGGGCAGCTGGCAAAAAACCCACAGAATAACGCCCATCAAAGGGACATCAGCTGCGGACTCACAGCATGGCGCTGAAGCCTGAGTTCAGGCGTCTCTTGGGAGCTGGGGACGAAATGTGCTGGAGCGCAAAGGGAGCGCTGAGCAGAAATGAGAGGAGAGGAGGGGAAAGGACGGGCTGTCCCCTGTTTCCAAGACAGGAAGAGGGAGCATGGGTTGTGGATTCACGGCGTGCAGAAAGGGCTCGGCTTCCCGCACGTGAGCCAGCGGCATCGTCAGCCCATTTTACAGCCGAGGAAAACGGAGGCTCGCCCAGGGAACTGACTCCAGGTGGGGATCGAGGCCCACACGCGGCGGGCTCTGCTGCCAGAGGTCGTGGCTGCAGGCGTCTTGGCACTGACGGACGGTCCCGGTCACACCAAAAGGCAGGAGGCCAGACTGCCCCGCAGGACTCCGCCCCCGTCTCGTTCCCCACCTGCCCCAGAGGACAGAGGCCCTTTCCAGTGGGGAAAGTCAGCACCTGTTCAAAACGCTCCCCTGACTCCTCGCCCCCAAGAGATGGAGTGGGAGCTCTGCCCCTTCTCCCACTCCAGCCCACAGTGACACTGGCCTTCCCCCCATGGGAGGCCCAGCACCCTGGAGCCAGGCCCACTGTGCACCTAGCACCACCTGCCTCAGGGTCTGTGCTTGGTCATCCCTCCACCCGGAACTGCTCCTGGCCTCCCCTGTTTGCAGACAACCCATGACCCTTAGATGTGTCCTCGTGCCAGGCAGCGGTCGGGTCCGAGGAGGAAGCCGGGGTCCATCCAGGTGTTTCACCCGGAGGGACTTGGGCACAAGGACCTGGGCACAATGGAGTTGGAGGGGCTGCAGGATTGAAAAGGGAAGCCGGGCTCAGTGGCTTTGGGAGGCGGGGGTGAGTGGATTGCCTGAGCCGGCAGGTTCACGACCCGCCTGGGCAACTTGGCGAGACCTCATCTCTACAATAAATCAAAAA